CGGCTTTCACTTTCAATCACCTGCACTTCCTCCTTTCTTTTGCGCATGCGCCTGCTCACAATATTTTTTAGATTTATATTCCTACATAGCCTTTTTACACCTCCACTCGAAACATACATTCACCCCACACAATGTTATACAAATTTTCAAATTTTGCTCCTGGTTTAGTTTGGCCATCAAATGCTGGCGTCGATTTGCTAACAAGGAAAACATTCTATTATAAATAAATTCCTAATTTAAGGATAGACACCACGGATAGATTTTTTTTTTATTTAACACATTTCTGGGAGTTAAATAAATTCATATATTAATAGTTGTTAACCTATAGACAAAAAAATTATATAGCCGCCACTAGCAGTACTGGTTGCCATGGAAACCACAAAAAAGTGTAAAAACTAACACCTTTTCTAACCTCTATAACTTTGTTCCCATCAGAAATTTTTAAAATCGGATGAAAGATACAGATTTCTCAAACCAAACTATACATTTCTACGTGTACTCATTGCGATAGCTCTTATTCTATTTCTAATACAAATTTTTAGTACATTTGTGTAAAAAATAAGGGGTTGGTGCTACAATAAACATGAATATTTCCTAAAGTATTGTAGTAAACTTAATGTCCAAACGTAGTTTTGTAGATGATATAATGCTGAATGCACGTGAAATGTTTTAGTCTTGTCTGACAAAAGGTTATAAAGCCTTAGAGATTAGAATGTTGAATTTTGAGTAAAAACAAAGTTGATAAAACGTGAAAAGTAAGGCAGAAAAAGGCCCTGTGAATTTCCTCTTATAGAAAACAGAAAAGGGCGTCTTGTTATGTGTGGAAGAACCATTTGACTAATAAAATACCAGTTGATTTATGTTGTAAGTTTTTATATATTTTTGTCTGTAGGCAGAAAATATGTATACAACAGATAATGAGTTAATGACTATTAAGTCTTACGCACTCTATCAATCGATTATTTTTCTCATGAAACCAGATACAGTTATGTTTGTTAGCAGGCCTTCTCACTTCAATGCAATGTTTATCCCTACTTAAATTGTAGCTTACGCAATTTTACTGCCTTTTGATAATGGCCGTCTACACAATCCTTAGTACAGTGCTTGAGGCTAAACACCCCCCCCCCCCCACACCTCCCCACCACTGAATAGTTCGTAAAGATCGGTGGAGCCATAGACTATCAATGTTCATTCTACCGTGAATAACACATCCGTGAAGATAGGGTCAAGTACAGGGCCTAAGTGAATGTCTATCAGCTATCCCACCTACTATTTACATTAGTTGCTAGAAAACCGTACACGGAGCGAAGGGCATACACAATAACACATGTTTCGTTTGCAGTCCGATGTAAAGTCACATGAATAGCGAGAACGTGATGAGTGGGATAAAGTGGATGGACTTAGTACATTCTTCAAAATGTCAGTCATGTCAGACATGTCCATGACGCATTGTTTCAGCTTAGTATGAGTTTGACATCACATTTTACTTTGTAGAAAACAACGTTTATCTCACTTAGTTTTAGAACAAAAGAGAATGTCACTACACCGGCGTGTACACGAGTGCTTGGCCGATATATTGCTGTATACTATACGGTGCTTCGTAGGCAATGAAGCACGTAACACACGCTCGAAGATAGCCACTGTCCGCGTAGTAGTGTGAAAATTTAATGGGGGTACCATGTTTCATATCGCGATAAACAGATAACAGTTGGCTGTAGGGCTTGGAAACGTTCGGGTTAGATAGCTAAATGGTGTTACTATTAGAATTATTGTTAAACCCATACTAGTAGAAAAAACATTAAACTGTCGAAAACATGTGTGGTGTATGGCCTTAAATAAAGCGGGAGCTATCTGCCCCCTAAACATGCTCATATATTCATATATAACCACATTTTTTCAGCACCTTTTGACCTCTTAAGTTAATACATTTAAAGCAACTGTTACGATAACGATTCACATGCTTTAAGAAACCCTGCAGCTTATAACTGCTGACACTTCAATAAGCTGGTCCTTCAATCTTGTGCACCACCTCGATCTAGCTATCTTTTGTACTAAAAAATTATTTATATACCTTAGAAAGCCAAAGTACGAACCCGGCACCACAGAGTAGTAAAACGCTTTATAAAAGTAAAATGTGTTATGAGGAAGGGAGGGGCGGATTTAGTGATTGCTCTAGTGTGTTCGGGAAGACTGTGTTGCTTTAAATATTGGAATTTGACGTGTTGCTTACGTATTTGGGTTAAGTGTTTATGTTGTAAAATAAATATAAAAATGAGTTTACTGTTTGCTTATAGACAGGTTTACCCTACATTTGTTTGATGAGCACCGTCTACTAGAGATTAGGTGGGGCTGCTACAATCCATGACTACCACACAAAGGGCGGTGCCCAGACACTCCTTCGATATTGTAGCTGATAACTCCCCTCACCCCCTTCCCTCCCCCCCCCCCCCCTTCTGAGAAATGCCAAAAAAAAATCAGCACGAGTAATAATCTATTATACTCTCAATTTTGACCAACGTATTATGCAAATATTTCGGTCTTTCTATATATATATATATTCTTCTCCGAAAATATACTTTATTTAGACTGACTGGATTGCAGTAATGAACGTAAATAGGAGGAAACAAAATAGAATACATTTATAATAAGCTTTTAAATGCATGAAGTTAGCAATATTAAAATAAACATGTTTATTCAGTGAAAAACATCCGTCGTTCATTTTCGCAACCATTGCTTCAATTAATTTTTTTAAAGGGTTTTTTTTAAATTCTTGTTATTAGTGCATTAAAAAGGTTTCCTAAAATACTTGTTTTATTTATATTTACTCTGCTAATACACCATCCGGTTATCAATGTACATATTGAGTCATCACAAATAAAAATAAAAGACGTGAAACAAGTTCGATGTCTGAGCTGATTTAATGCGAAATGTTCTTCTGATTACAATGAAACCAAATATTATAATATCACTGAGCTTGAGCGTGTGCTTATTTTTGTCCAGAAACATCAATATCAAAATACAGAAAAACCTAATATCCCACATTATCTTAAACACGATGATCGTTCAAGACCAGTTTCAACATTGAAGAGGGCTGGTTGGTTCCTGACATAGCTAGAATTGCTGTCAGGATTAATCATGTTTTTAAAAGCATTGTGGTCAAATACGTATTGAATTGCGCGAACATATATGTTGATTTCGGCAATAATCATTACTTAAAGCCGTGTCGTAGCCACACACTCCGAAGTTTTAATGTTGGGAGTTCTAAGACTTTATAAGCGTTCTAAGATTTATATATAGTCTTTCATCTTCTTCGTTAAAAGCAATCAGAGCCTGTAGAGTTAATACTTAAACTGAATAGAGTCTGTATTATGCGGGCATTTCTTTAAGTGTGGGCCAAAGCTGGTTTATAAAATAAGGCTTGCACGTCAAATGTCACACGATTCTTTTTTTATCTCAGCTCAACTTTAAATAACATCTTTACGGTCTACGGAGTTTGCTGTACTGCCCGGATTCAATCTGCTTGCGGAGCGGGAGGAGGGAGGGCGGAGTCGATGATAGACATTTTGAAATTGATGTCAAGTGTACACGCTGATAAAAACAAGTTTTTATAAATGAAGGTCCCAAAGAGACAATTGAGGAAGAAAACCGTTGAATCAGTGTGTGAAGACTTCTAGCTGCTTACTGTCTTAACTTTGACCGTGTATAATTGAATGGCCTATCTAATGAGCCTTTTAAATATTTTTTGTACCACTTTTGGCGCCCCCCTAAAGGTTGCTCTTGACGCGTACGGCCAAATTAAGTTGCTGTCTACAGTCATACAGATCACTGAAGGGGATTGGGGTCAAAGGTTGGTAGCGGGGGACGGGGAGTGGTTGATCTTTTTGAATCATAACAGCGAAATGGTACCAAGGTATGCTGTCCGGTAACTGGTTTATGTTTTATTTAAGTCCGACATTTGAAGTGGTTGAACAAAAATCTCTGAATCTAAATTAGTGTTTCTAACATTTGTAAAACTTCAACCATTCAAAGACTATGAGAAGAAATATAACGGGCTAAAATAAATATTTCATAAAAAACGTTTTAAAAACAAGCTTTTATGTACTAATGCACTAAAAAGTAGAAAATAAATTAAAGACTACTATTTAAATAACTATAAAGAAAAGCTAATAAATGCTCAATAAAGGAAATTGTATTTTTATTTTAGAGATAACTCATAGATAGTGTTAAAACATTTTTAATTTGGTGCCTTCCCTTTGACCATATTTCAGGGCAAAATAAAAAAAATCTTTTAGCAATAAAACCCTGACTACTCATTAAATTGCAAAATATTGTAAATGTTAAAATACTTAATAATATAAAAAAGCTGAACTATATACCTCAGTCAGACGGGCAACATCGTCTTCAGGAAACGAATACATGAGCCCTGACAATGTGAAATTTAAGAGATAAACCAATCTAGACGGCCCATTTGACACATATGTGCAGTGTATTCTTTGATCAAGTGATTACAAAATCTGTTTGGAATTCTTACCTTATTGAGACTTGAGACATATCATTATATTGTGTAGTATTTACAACAGACTGTGAGTAGACTCGATTTGAGTATTGTAAAGAGCCTTTATTTTATTTGCAAATGTGTTTTGTAACTAGTTTGTGGTTGTGTGTCTTAAATGTTGTGTGACGAAATTGATTATTCGTAACGGCGGGTCAGTGTATTCACAACATACTACAGCGCAATAAGAATGGAAATAAGCAAAACTTGAAAATATAATAGTTAGTTTATTTGGTTGCTAAAAGTTGACTAAAAATTAAAATTATTTTAAAAATTGAAAATACAATAGTTAGTTTATTCTGTTGTTAAAAAATTTCAAAAATAAATAAAAGTTATTTTAAAAAAAAAAGAAAATAAAATAGTTTATTTGGTTTAAACCAGTTGACAAAAAACGTAAATTATTTTTTTTTAAATTGAAAATAAAATGTTAGATTTTTTCGTTGCTAAAAGTTGAAAAAATGGAAATTACAAAAAAGGGGAAATACAATAGTTAGTGTATTCGGTTGCTAATAGTTTACGAAAAATGGAAATAACAAAAACAAAATTAAAATACAATGGTTAGTTTATTTTTCTTCTAATAGGCCTACCTGAAATTTTTTTAACAATACGGTGTTTTTTAATATGATTTGAGTTTATTTGTAAAAACATGCATTGTCAGTGACCTATATCAATTTGGATTCTATTCATGAAGAAAACAAAACAAACGTACATTGTTTTTAGCATATAGGGCCTACTTTGACACAATTTATTAGATTGTAAACCATGTGTGCTAACTAAAATCATTTTTCTATGTAAACCTGCAAAAACAAATTAATAAGTTTATTCTCTTTTATAAACCAAAAATATGTTGACAGATTCATACACTAATCACATCAAGCTTAGTCTTCAACTTTGTTAAGGAAAGATTATAGAAATAATTTCAATTTGATATTTTAATTTTTGTTTTAATTTTGAAATATTCATAATTCATTCTTGCTCTCTAGCTGCCGGCCACGAAACCACATAATTATATAATTAGTTTAGCAATGTACTATGAAATTAACGACAAAATTCAAAAGGATATAGTGCAAAAAATAAAACACTCAGGTCATATTAGAAAATCATCAAATGTATTTTTATACATATTTTATGTTATTTATGTGTCGGTCCACTAGCATTATCTCCTGATTTTTTAATGCTGTCCACGTCCCATCCACCATCCATATCCCATCCTGCTCTGCTCCTGCACCATGTTTCTGGTGTTACAGCGGTCACCAGTACAAAAGCACGTGACATCCTTCTTGTGAGTCAAGCAGCCATTGGCTGGGATACGTAGACCTGGGAACTTGCCGTCTGAACATCCACGGACCACATCTGGTAAAAATAGAACAGTAACCTTAGAATTACAAACATGTTTTTCCTTGAGAAAAATGAATATTTGTGACATGTGTACTTTAATTGATGAGAAAAGATTGCCATAAAAAATATCAAAACAACCACTGGATGTTTCAGTTTTATTAGATTGTTAGGGTATTGGTAGTATTTCAAAATCAGGTTTAGTTTTAAGTTCAGACATTAGGGTTGGGGGCCATGGTAGGACTTAGGCAGAAGTTAGGTTTAGATATGGTTAGCATTGACATAAGAAATTTATATTAATATTTAGTTTTCTACTAATTTTATTTTAAAAAACCTGATAGTTTCTACATAATCTACATCATAGGCCGTCCTGGGATGTCATTGGAGACTTAAGTATTAACAGTCGAGCGCATCAATAAACAGCCTATACAGTGCATAAAATGTTATCACATTGTTTTTCAAATTAGTATTACTGGCACCTTATTTAATGATAAATGTTCATGATCTACTCACCTCCACCAAAAGGTGTTTTGTTGACAGTAGACATGCAGGGTCCCTTACACCTGACATAACGTGTGTTGGTCCCAGTCTTTATTTTCCCATTGGCAGGACACAGGTAGTTCTGTTTCTTGCTGCTGCAGCCGCTGGTACAGCTGTGGCAGTCGTAGTAACGCTGGGCTGGGGCTCGTGTTGTTGGTGTGGCTTCTTGGTTGTTCCTGGTTGTTGCTTCTTGGTTATTCCTGGTTGTTGCTTCTTGGTTATTCGTGGTTGTTGCAGGATTCGTGGTCTGCTGGTTGTTTGTGGTTGTTGCCGATCTTGTGGTGGTTGCTGGTTGGCTCGTGGTTGTCACTGCTTGCGTCGTGGTTGCAGGTGCTGTTGTAGCCGGTGCAGCTGTTGTTGCGTCTATTGTGAAAAAAAATAGTTTTGGTATTGTCGAAAATTCAGTCGTGTTAAACAAAATCAACTTTAGCTAATGTCTTTGGATAACTAGTTAGAACTAAATAAACCAGTCAGAGATAATGATATATAGCAATACTAATGTGTCAGCACTAATGGGTCATGTCAGCACTAATGTGTCGTGTCAGCACTAATGTGTTATGTCAGCACTGTCAAGTGAGTACTGTATTGTCAACAATATTGTGCCAGTACTGTCATGTCAACACTGCCAAGTCAAGACTGTAATGTCCACACTGATGGTACACACAACTTTATCACCAACCCATCACCCACCACAATCACAGTAGACTTTCCCGTGTGAGTTCTGGTTCGTGACGGTGTCTTGGGGATCTCCCTTCACAGCACTAAGATCACAACTGCCGTCACCAAATCCGTAGTTCATACACCTTGGGTTGGCCGCGCAAGCTTTGAAACAATCCTGTTCACAGCGGATCACAGTGTGATCAAGTGATAAAATTAAAAGTATTCTGAGAGTTAACAAAACTTATTTTCAGAAAAAAACGTTTTAATAACAAGCTTGTATGTAATAATGCACTAAAAAGGAGAACATAAATTATACACTACTATTTAAATAACTATAAAGAAACTTGATATATCAAGTACATTTTGCAACACCATGTAAAATTGGAGTGTAGGACTAAATGCCGACATCCAAAAGGCCGACAAGACAAAAGGCCGACACGGTTTTATTGAGCCGTAGTACTGGTTGGTGACCTACTTACCAGCCCTATTGTATTATGTGACAAAACGTGAACATGGGTCAAATATTATATAACGTAAACCTGTCAATGAACTCCCTATAAATGGCAATATATTCTCATTAAGTGAGCGCCCAAATAGTTACTGCTAGATCTTCCAGCACAATAGCTTTAATAAGGTTACACCATGATGATTATGTGGTACTGATGAAGAAGATTATCTTGAGGTAGTTACCTCAGATGTCTCAACGCTCAATGTGATGGATTCCTGCTCGGTCACAGACGTACAATGTTGGGCTAGGAAACAATGAAATAGAATCCATGTGTAAATATATACTTATATACGCATAAATATACGCATATATATATATATATATATATATATATATATATATATATATATATATATATATATATATATACATATATAAATGGGACGTCGTGGTTGAATGATAGACCATCCGATTGCTAACCCGAAAGTCTCGAGTTCGAAACCCTAGCTTAAACTCGTACGAAATCCCCGAGATCACCCAGCTGAAATTGGTACGTGGTTCACGAAACAGGGGATTCACCTGCTTCATGGAGTATATAAGAGAATACCCCGTTAAAGGTTTCTGTTATAAAAGACTTTAATTTCTCTAGCTGCCTCGATAGCATGTGCTGTGTGCTGACTACACACCAAAAAACATGACACAACGGTCGAACGGCACCAGTACGGTCCTGTCACTTGTGAGGTTTCGTTGGATGTAAAATCTAATGCATCAATCGTGTGAGATTTTCTTACTGTAAACTAATATGAGTATGGCTCTCAGTCTTATTATAATAAAAAGATTTTAGCTGCATTACACGGGGCCGTCATAGAATTAAAGAAAGAAAGTCTGAGAAACTTTTTGGAGCTAAACGCTTTTGTACATTTAATTTACGTTGTGAAAACATAACATGCTTTAGAAGATAAAATGTTTACTGTTTCAGTTGTGACGCCTGAAGCTGTGCCCATTAGATTAAATATGGGACGGCGTGGTCGGGTGGTAGAGTGAACTCTGCTAGCCTAAATTATCAAGTTCAGATCATGTGATCGAGTGTCTAGGCTGCACTGAGCACACCTAGCTCTAATGGGTACCTGACTTATGCTAGAAAAAGTCAGGACATATGGACATGTAAATTTTCATACTATCTCTTCATATTATGCCTAGGTCACAGAAACATACGCTTTACTTCATCAGCACTCTCGATAGCCAGGTTCGAAATAGTGGCTAATTTAAAAGATAATATCATTTACACATTATGATTACTGAGAATTAGGTAATCGAGCCGTAGTGCTATGCTAAAATCCGGATGCCGGGCGGAACGGCCAGTTTATGGTACAGTTGTTCTAATAAAAAATCAGTACACTCACTACATTCGCAGTAGACAAAACCAAACGTGTCAGTAACCGGGTTCTTTTCTGTCATTCCTATGTAGTTATACGAGCATTGGCCGTCTTCAAAATTATAACCTGTGCACTTCGGGTCAGATGCACAAGCGTTAAAACAATCCTAGAGAAAAAAAATTGAATTTAAATCATCTTTAAGGGGTCATCCATAAATGACGTCACGCTTTTTTTGGACGATTTTTACCACCCCCCCTCCCCTCCGTCACACGTCGTCACAAAAAGCCAGACCCCCCCCCCTAAAATGACGTCATACCTCAACCTACAACCCCCCCCCCCCCACCCCCTCAAAATTGCAGTTGAATTTTTTTTAAACATCGATATTTTTCCAAAATCTTATCTAAACTATTACAATTTATTAAAACAGTTATCTAAAACGCGAAATAACGTCTAAAATTCGTTTTCTAACATTGCTTTTTTATAATGCAAAATTGTGACGACGCAACATCTGAACCCCCCCCCCCCTCCACCTCATCACACATCGTCACAAAATTACGGACCCCCTCCCCCCTACGAGTGTGACGTCATTTATGGATGAACCCTAAATACATTTCAAACATGAAAGATATACATTGGTACTAAAAATAAAGATAAGGGAATACGAATTGTAATTTTGTAAGATCGACCAGAGTTAATTATCTAAGGAAATAATTTTTACCTGATTAGTTGTTGCAGATGGATACTTTGTGTCCAAATCACCATACACGTGACACATACGTCCTGTACATCGGGGATGTATATATATATATAATATATATATATATATATATATATATATATATATATATATATATATATATATATATATATATATATATATATAATATATAATATATATAATATATATATATAATATATATATATATATATATATATATATATATATATATATATATATATATATATATATATATATATATATATATATATATATATATATATAATTTTGATAATCTTTATTAAATGATATTGTAACAAAAAATCTTTTTGCCAGTAGGAAATAAACCATGAGGGCCGATATATTTTCTCAATGAAATAAATTCTTATAAAAACATAGCATATTTTTTTTGTGGAAAAAAAGTAAACAAAGACTACGTGATTCGGTCTGTGTACTAGGGAGGTTACTTTTAAAAGTAGTTATTTTTTAAATTAATTTAAGTGGATATGCTCCTCACAAAAATCATCAAATTTCTGTTGTTTTCGTATTGATGGGTTTCTTGCACTTTTGGAGAATTTGTTGGTGTTTGTATTAAGAAAATAATAAACCTAATGGGAAAATGCTTGTTTAAACTACCATTTTTATGACCCAATTAATTAAACAATACTTTCTTTCTCAATCTTACAAGCTCTCTACGAAACATTTTATATCTTTTCGCTACTTTTTGCAGTTTTTCTCAGTTCACACTTTTTAAACACTGAAAAGCCTACTACTTTTTTAATTTATTAAACAATGTCTACCATATATTCAGTAAGTGTTTTTCGTTCAGAAATAAAACTTTTGTCTCGAGTGAATTGTGATAGCTTTCATAGAATAAAAGTTTAAGGTAAATAATAAGCAAATTTTGATACTTTTGAATACTAAAAAGGGTACTGTATTTTAGACCTTGTAAAATTCTTAATAGTAGCTATTTCAAAAAGTTGTAGTGACAAAAGTTTAAATATATACTGAAATACAAGCAGTTAAAATTTGATTGCTATTATTGAATAAATAAAAAAGCCTTTGCATATTTAAAAGTACCGAAAAAATTAAAATGGCGGAGTGTTTTTTTAGTTTCCATGACAACCAAAATTGTTTTCAACTCTTATTTTGCTGTTTAATACTTACTTTTATTTGCCAAACATGATAAAAGTATTCAAAAGGCTTTAGATGTTAAATTATAAAAAATAAACCGGGAGTGATCTCCCCTAAACTTTCTCGAATATTCCTATATAAAACAACAGGGGATGGGAACTCGGGCTATAGACATGAATTTTTAATCCATTTTAAATACTTAAAGTTTTAAAAATAGAATAAAATCTCGTAGACAAAAGAATTGCACACCAAGTGAACGCCAAATAAAAAAGTGCATAATAGTGCTCAATATTATTAGTACTTTAAAAATTTACATTTGTTTTTTGAGAAATCGGAAGTAGCGTAAATTACTACTTCCGGTCAACGGAAATTACTAAAAATTTGACAGAAGGTAGAAAATTAGATCTTTTACTTATATGTGAAATTTCATTTATCTATCTGAAATAGTACTCAAGTTATAGGCTTTTGAAAAATTCAAAGTAGAAAAAGTACCATTTCCGTTTATCGGAAATCGCTCAAAAGTTGATACGGATCTACGATTTTGATAAAATACTTATATATGAAATTTCATCAAACTAGCTGTAACGGTACTCAAGTAATCGTGTGTACACACACACAGACAGACACACAGACATACGGACAGGATTGCAAAGCCCAGTTTTTCAGAATGGATTACGCATAAAACCTCTTAATTTTGATAATTGGATTGATAATTTTTGCCCGATTAAAATAAGTCCTCTATACTTCGGATGTGATGAAGGACTGAGGTGTAATACGGTGAAAATTGTTAAAATTTCAAGAGATTGTTTTGCACGATTACAATACTTTCTCTATACTTCGTATATACGAGAAAGTAAAAAAGAGAAAAAAATGGAGCATATCCCCTTAAAATTATTTATAACTCAAACAGAAAACTACGAAATATAGCATTCGTTTAAGGTAAGAATTTCGTTTTTATTTTCATTAAGTTGTAGACATAAACTTCAAAAGTTAATGTAATATAGTCTCTTATTTTTAGGGCCTACTATCAAGGAAATGTTTTTAGTTTTAATTATCTTGCAATTAATAAGTCTGCGAATATTTCACCAGCTTTCTCTAACAAGAGCAAAGCTAGACAGTATGCCTAGTAACAGTGGCGTAGCGAGGTTGGGTGTCACCCGGTGCGGCACCTAAACAGTAATTTGTATTAGTTTGACCGATAAAATGGTATATATTTCATAGCGTACGTCTTGATGAACAGAGCTATAGATCTAGACCTAAATCAAATTTGAATGAAGTAGTTCCTTTGTTTATAATCTAAAATCGGAAATTCACATATAAAAAAAATAAAAAATAAAGTTTGACTTGGTGTGTTTCGATCTTGCACCACCTGCTTGGTACACTATCATCTCAGCTATTGAGGCACCTTATAAAATATGGAGAATGAAAGACGTATTTAAAAAACTTAACTTACGCGAATATGCATATTCTTTCAAATTATTTTTTATCCCAAATTAGCCAGTTCCTTAATATAGACATTTATTTTTTGGAATAGATTCTAGAGTAGATAGTCTAAATCTAGATCTTAGCGACTTATTAGCGTCTACGTCTAGTTTTGGCGTAGATTTAGATCTAGTCTTGATCTAGAATATCTAGATCTAGAATCCAATAGATAAAATACATTTTATAAGTTTAGGCCGGAAAAATTTTATTGTATACATTTCATAGCGTACGTAGATCTAAATCAAATTTGAATGAAATAGTTCTTTTCTTTTTATTCTATACTCAGCAGATGACGTCATTAGTTAATGTATAAACATTAGTGACGTCATTTTTTCGTGGGTTCTTTTTGACAACTATAAACACTTTTCCTGTTGCATAATTAAAACTGTTTTTCTACATTCAAATACGCCTTTATTTTTTAATTTTCTTCTTTAAATAAAATGTTGGCTATACATATAAAACATCTATCATATTATTTTCAACAAAAATCCGTATCAAGTTCTCCATATATCGCTGAAGATTCTGATGTGATACACTGCGAAAATATTTTGCGGACAGAGAGAGAGAGAGAGAAGTGCCACTTGGGCTCTTATATATTAGAATAGCATATTAAAAGTCTCTTTCTTCACGGTAACGAGGGGAGCAATTTCTTTTCCAAATTTGATTTTGTACAGTGCACAAAAATTTTTGATCTATTGAGTACAATATAGGATAAGGAAAAAAATGAAACTTTGCATTTGGTAGCAAGAGAAAATAATTAACACCAAACTATAAAGACAAGTCAGACTAAAATACACAACAGATCACAGTTAATATAAAAGAACACACTCAACACAACGAAGTTCATAAAACACAACAAAAACTAATTTTATGACACAAAAACACAATAGAACACATTCAATACAGCTATGTTACTAAATGCAACACAATACAATAAACAACATACACTAAACATACTTATAAACACACTAAACACAACAGAACACAATGAGCACAACCAAGCATACTGAAAGAGCTGAACACAATAAAGCACTACACACAACAGAAATAAAACACACAAACACACAACAGACCAGTAAACAAGTCTTACCGTTCACTATTATTCCGGGTGAAGCTGTCGTATTACCTGTCAATAAAACAAAAGCATTGCTGTTGTAATTAAAATAAAAAAGTAAAGAAACCTTTTTTAGACCTGGCGATCCATTGGACATATAGAGTTCATAATATAAGGAATGTTTCTTGACCTCTGTATATGAATGGAAGATGTGGTCAGCACTTTGCCCAGCTGCCTTTACTTTAACTAACATGAGTTAGGTACCCGAGGTATAAAGTAAATAAAATATCCACTTGATCGCCATAGTGTAATACATCTTAAGTATTTTTTATCTACATTAATAATTTAAAAAATAATGTGGACGGTTTTGAAAAACTAGTTCCATTTTCCAAACTAAACATTTTAATGAACGTCACATGGAAAAACTAAAGTCAAAGAAAATGTATTATCCTTCAATAAAATTTTAAAAGTGTACAAAATACTTGACTATTTTCCTTCATTGCTAATTACTTCCCTTGGTTGATCACATTTTTTTAACTTACTCTTTAAAAAAAACATTACTTCGGTGAAATAAAAATATTTAATATATTTAAAAATGCGTTGATTGATAAAATGCATTTTGGGTAGGTAAAACACGAATATTTTAAATACTTTCTAAATGTCCTCTATGTTTATTTCTCTTTCCATTTGCGGACAAGCTTTGGGTATTTCAGTCGGCAGTGTTTGATTTGGCGCCCTAGGCTATCCTGTGGGCGCTACGAAGTAAACGTTTTAATAAATGCAATAGGCTGTGAAAAATAACTGTTACTATAGACGCACATAAATCGAATCCAGATCGTCCAATGGCGCCCCGACAGGGTGCGATTTAGCGCTACGGGACTTCCCGAGAGAGCTTATGTGCATAAGTTCGTTTTAGTCGTGTTTTCGTTTGTATTGTTGTCTGGCTTGTTGTTAGAGTTCGGTTCAGGGCTATATGTTCTTTCCGGGTACACAAGTCATGATCCTTAACTCAGAGGCCAGTGCAGGGCCTAGCCGGTACAGCATATATATATATATATATATATATATATATATATATATATATATATATATATATATATATATATATATATATTTTTTTTTTTTTTTTTTTTTTTTTTTTTTTCTGTTTTTTTTTTTTTTTTAAATTATTTATGTATGTGTGTTAAGAATATGTGATTTGCAAAAAAAAATATAATCCTGCCATAAATTGATAGAAAACATTCACAAATTAGAGGTAAGCAAAGAAAAAAAAGAATATTAATTTCTTACCTGACAGAGCAAATGGGCACAAGATCAACAAAATGATCAGTTTCATCTTTGGAATATCCTGACACATGATAGGTAGACAAGAGATTCTTGGTGGCCTTCTGCACTGTCGCGTTCTGGCAAGGATTCTTGGAATCCCAGATTATTTTCTTCTCCTTGGTCATGCGTAAAAATTAACCAACCGTGATATGCAGATAGGAACCGCCCAATTTGTTTAAGCTGTAGAATGTTGGTTTGAGGGCATGTTACATTATTATAATATGACGACTTTAGTCACGTGATTTTTTAAAGGATAGGGGGTAGGGGGTTGATGGTTGGGATAGGTGTTTATAGGAGGGGAAGGATAGGGATTGTAAGGATGGTTGGGTGGTAGGCGTTGAGTATTGATGTTAAGACGGTGGTGTGGGTGAATGGTATGGTGGTGGTGGGTGTTAGGGTGTTAGGGTGGTGGTGGGTGTGGGTAGTGAATAGAAGGTTAGTGATGGTAGAGATTGGTGTTAGTGGTGGTTGGTTAGGAAGTGATCATATGATAATTGTTTGGGGTGGGTAATATAGAAGCTGCGTGGTGCAGGTATCAGTTTTGTGGGGTGGATTGTACGAGCAAGTTATAATTACTCAAATACACATTTTGCTTCTGGTTTTGTTTTGCCATCAAATTCTGGCGTCGATTTGCTAACAAGGAAAACATTCTATTATAAATAAATTCCTAATTTGAGGATAGACACCACAGATAGAATTTTTTATTTATTTAACACATTTCTGGGAGTTAAATAAATTCATATATAAATAGTTGTTAACCTATAGACAAAAAAATTATATAGCCGCCACTAGCAGTACTGGTTGCCATGGAAGCCACAAAAATGTGTGGAAACTAACACCTTTTCTAATCTCTATAACTTTGTTACAGATCTTTGGTACAGATTTCTCAAACCAAACTATACATTTCTACGTTTACTCATTGCGATGGCTCTTATTCTATTTTTAATACAAATTTGTACTACATTTGTGTACAAAAATAAGGGGTTGGTGCTACATAAACATAAATATTTCCTAAAGTATTGTAGTAAACTTAATGTCCAAACGTAGTTTTGTAGAAGGCATAATGTTGAATGCACGTGGAATGTTTCGGTCTTGTCTGACAAAGGATTGTAAAGCCTTAGTGATTTGAATGTTGAATTTTGAGTAAAAACAAAGTTGAGAAAACGTGAAAAGAAGGGCAGAAAAAGGCCCTGTGAATTTCCTCTTATAGAAAACAGAAAACGGCGTCTTGTTATGTGTGGAGGAACCATTTGACTAATAAAATACCATTTGATTTATGTTGTAAGTTTTAGACAGATTTTTGTGTGTAAGCAGAAAATATGTATACAACAGAGTAAATGACTACTAAGTCTTACGCACCCTATCAAACGATTGTATTTCTCAGAACAACTATCATGAAACCAGATTCAGTTCTGATTGTTGGCCAGACTTCTCACTTCACTGCAATGTCTATTCCTACTTAAATTGTAGTATAATAGCCTTCTACACAATCCTTGGTACAGCGCTTGAGGCTAAACACCCCCCACCCCACACCTCCCCACCGCTGAATAGTTCGTAAAGATCGGTGGAGCCATGGATTACCAATGTTCATTCTACCGTGAATAACACATCTTTGAAGATAGGGTCAAGTACAGGGCCTAAGTGAATGCCTATCAGCCAGTGGCACGGAACAAGAAAAAATAGCCACCCCACAAATTTGTTTAGCCCTCCCCCATATATATATATATATATATATATATATATATATATATATATATATATATATATATATATATATATATATATATATATATATATATAACAAAAATATGAACATATGTTACTCATTTTTCAGGTCTGCTTGGTCGAGTCGGTTAAGCACATGGTTGCTAAACCGAAAAATCTCGAGTTCGAACCCTCGGGCAGATGAGGCTCGTTAGCTGGGGACAGCAGCTCTTCTATGAGAGACAACTCCAAAATCAAACAACTGCTGCCTTGTAGCTTGTTCTTGGTTGGACAAAGGCTATGGAAGCAAATCCAAAAATAAAAGCAGGCTGAAATCGGAGTCAATGGCCTCAATGGCGCATAACAAGTTGACACTTATCTTTAATTGTGATGGAGGCGTAGTCGAGTCGGCCAAAGCTAATGGTTGATAAATGCGAAGAAGTCTCGAGTTCAAACCCTCTGGCAGATAAGGCTCGATCCCCTCCAACACTAAAAATTAAGAACGAAGAAGAAGAGGTTACTCATTTCAGGTCTTTGTTGTTGTTTTTTTTTTTGTTTCAATTAAAAAAATTACAACATCTCATGTGTGTGAATGAATTAGTCTTTTTTGAAAAATGTGTTTTACTTTATGTCTGCTGTATTATGTCTTGACCACGTGTCGGTCTAAAGAATATGAAACACCATAGCTTTGCATATATAATGGTTTCTCGCGTAATGCTTATTTTTATGTCGATTTGTATTTATATTATTAATTTTAAATGCATTTTCTTTTTATACTGCGTCATTTCTTAGTATGTATTTTTTTAAGAAAAGTAATTGCTTTTTAATTGTTTAGTTCAAATCTATTCATCAACCGTCCCTCCCCCACCCCCCCCCCCCCCCCCCGAAAATTTCAAGTGCCCTTCCTAACCCCCCCCCCCCCCCCCCCGGAGAAAAAAGTCTGGAAGAAACACTGGGGAATAACCGCAGCTACAGTATTTTTTTAACAAAACAATCATCAAGTCAAAAATAAAAGAAAATTAAGTAACTATAAAAAAATTGATTATGGTCGGCTGTGGGCCCCTAAATGCTGTGGGCCCCCCTCATTGCGGGGTCTGGCGACACTGTAATTCCGCCCCTGCTATCAGCTATCCCATCTACTATTTACGTTAGTTGCTAGGAAACCCTACACGGAGCGAAGGGCATACACAATAACACATGTGTCGTTTTCAATCCGATGTAAAGTCTGATGAACGCGTTCAAGCCTATCACATCATGATGTAACAAGATTATAAACTGGTCATTGGTTGAATAGCAAGAAGGGGATGAGGGAGGTGAAGGGGATGGACTTCAAAATGTCAGACATGCCCATGACGCATTGTTTCAGCTTAGTATTAAGCGTACTAAACAGTGTTTAATAGTGTTCCAATGATAATCAACAGTACATTTCTTGGCAAAATTTCAATTATTAAACATATTGTTGTTGTATAATTAAAAAAAAACAATTAGAAGAGTATATGCAAATGAAGTAAACAAACGAAGACAGGCCTAGCACACGTGGTTACTTACAACCTATTGTGAATTATTTTGATATACTGTACTATAATATGATTGGTCAAATGTATCAATGAATGTCTCCCCATTCATTATGTTTTTCGCGCATGCCCTTATATGGAGTTTGACATCAAATTTTACTTTGTAGAAAACAACGTTTATCTCACTTATTTGTAGAACAAAAGAAAATGTCACTACACCGGCGTGTGCATGAGTGCTTGGCCGATATAGTGCTGTATACTATACGGTGCCTCGTAGGCAATGAAGCACGTAACACACGCTCGAAGATATCCACTGTCCGCGTAGTAGTGTGAAAATTTAATGGGGGGGGGGGGGGTACCATGTTTCACATCGCGATAAACAGATAATCATTGGCTGTAGAGGTTGGAAACGTTCAGGTTAGTTAGCTAAATGGTGTTACTATTAGAACTATAGTTAACCCATAGTAGAAGAAAAACCTTAAACTGTAGAAAACATGTGTGGTGTATGGCCTTAAATAAAGCGGGAGCTAAATGCCCCCTAAACATGCTCATATATTCATATATAACGACATTTTTCAGCACCTTTTGACCTCTTAAGTTAATACATTTAAAGCAACAGTTACGCTAACGATTCACAGGCTTTAAGAAACCCTGCAGCTTATAACTGATGACATTTCAATAAGCTGGTCCTACAATCATGCGCATCACCTCGATCCAGCTATCTTTTGTACTAAAAAAATTATTTAAATACCTTCGCTTAGTATGAACCCGGCAACACAGACTAGCAAAACGCTTTATAAAAGTAAAATGTGTTATGAGGAAGGGAGGGGCGGCTTTAGTGATTGCTCTAGTGTGTTCGAGAAGAGTGTGTTGCTTTAAATATTGGAATTTGACGTGTTGCTGGCGTATTTTGGGTTAAGTGTTTATGTTGTAAAATAAATATAAAAATGAGTTTACTGTTTGCTAATAGACAAATTTAGCCTTCATTTGTTTGATGAGCACCGTCATCTAGAGATTAGGTTGGGGGGGGGGCAACTACAATCCATGACTACCACACCAAGGGCGGTGCCTAGACACACCTGCGATATTGTAATTGGTAACTCCCCTCACCCCCGCCCCTCCCCCCCCCCCCCTTCTGAGAAATGCCAAAAAAAATCAGCACGAGTAATAATCTATTATACTCTCAATTTTGACCCACGTATTATGCAAATATTTCGGTCTTTCTAGATATATTCTTCTCCGAAAATATACTTTGTTTAACCTGACTGGATTGCAGTAATTAACGTAAATAGGAGGAAACAAAATAGAATACATTTATAATAAGAAGCTTTTAAATGCAAGAAGTTAGCAATATTAAAATAAACATGTTTATTCACTGAAAAACATCGGTCGTTCATTTTCGCAACCATTGCTTCAATTAATTTTTTAAAATGTTTTTTTTTTAATTCATGTTATTAGTGCATTAAAATGTTTACTTCTTTTTATTACAAAGGTTTCCTTTAGCCTTTAATACTTGTGTTATTTACTCTGCAAATACACCATCCGATTATCAATGAACATATAGAGTCGTCACGAATAAAAATAAAAGACGTGAAACTAGTTCGATATCTGCTCTGATTTCATGCGAAATGTTCTGCTGATTACAATGAAACCAAATATTATAATATCACTGAGCTTGAGCGTGTGCTTATTTTTGTCCAGAATATCAAAACACAGGAAAACCTGATATCCCACATTATTTTAAACACGATGATCGTTCAAGACCCGTTTCAACATTGAAGTGGGCTGGTTGGTTCCTGACATAGCTAGAAATGCTGTCAGGCTTTGCTACGGATTAATTATGTTTTCAAAAGCATTGTGGTCTAATACGTATTGAATTGCGCGAACATATAAGGCTATGTTGATTTCGGCAATAATCATTACTTAAAGCCGTGTCGTAGCCC